AAAAAGAAGGGGGGAAGGAAGGAAAGAAGAAAGACAATCGTCGCTGCTTTCGAGAGGCTCGGGGCTCCACTCTATCTTTCTCGCCACTGCGTCAAATGATTGCGTCACGCAGTGAATGATAATTTATGTAAGACGAGAAAATCGGACGAAAATTAACGTAGGTACGTACGCGAGATCGTCTCGGTATCGATTCGACCGGTTCCGTGAAATTCAGAAGTGCGTGTCGATACTTCAGGGGATAGATCTACACACTAATATAAGTGGAAAACGTCATGAGAACATATGTCCTATATACCTTAGTTTTTGAATTATGGATGATTAAAGAAAATGTTCGAAGTGCATGATCTCAACCTATTAGATTTTTACTTTTGGGGCTATTTTTAAAACTATTGTACATTCAACGCAAGTGAATAATGTGCACGATATGCAAGAAAGGACATCAAATAGATTTGCGACTATTCGAAGAATACGTGGTATTTTCGAGCGTGGGCGGAACTCAATGCTACGGACGTGCAGTAGTGTATGTTGAGGCACGGGGTGGGCACTTCGAACGTTTTCTTTAATCGTCCATAACTCGAAAATTAAGGTATACTATAGGACATATGTTCACATGACATTATTGACTTATCTCAGTCCTGTAGACTTACTCCCTGCAGTATTGCTATGTATTTCTGTATCACCTTGTATATGCAAATGCGTGGGTACGTGCACAAGGTGTCCGTTAACATCTGGGACCCACTTACGAAGAGAAGTTCATATGTGAACACGTGGCTCTGTTCGATCTTCTTTGAAAGTTACAGCGAGTTTTGTACTCCAATAACGTGATACAGCTATTTGTATCCGTAAGCAAAGCGCGCGGAACAATAATCTTCGACCTGAACGCAAAGTCCTCGTTAGTCGTCGTGTCGCAGTGTTTTCCGATTCTTCGAGTATTCTTAGCAATAGCAGTGGCATTATTGAGCAACGTGTGTAAATAATTCAGCGGTACGAGTTATGCTAGCTCAGTTGGACATTAAGGATTATTGGAATATAAAAACTGTTCGCGACCAAGGTTGAATGGGGACACACACGTTTGAACGTTAATTCCCCACCGATTCCGTGGCCTCCAACTTGTACAGAAGTGGAGACTGCCACGTTTTGTATATGTGTGTATGTATATGTATCGTATCGATTAGTTTGTAAACGATTGTTCGGTTGGTAGCTAGGTGTACGGGAGCGTAATACGGTTACGGTTAACCCGATACACACGTAATTCCATTAACCAGTGTGTTTGGCTCGAGTGTACACGCTCGATTGTTGTGTAGTTAGGCTGCCATACGCCGAGGAGACACACGTGAAAGTCCTGGATTTACAAGGGGGGAAGCCCGATGAATGGGAATCGAATCTTTTCTTAGAGTATTAGCTGCCCGGGATCATCGAAAGGTCACCTTGATTTTTTCTTCTTAATTTTTTTTTTTTTAATCGTCATACAAAATATACGTTATTGACCTTATTTAGTATGTCCTCCGTGATCAATTCAACGAGCTTGTATGACATGCATTTTCGAACAATCCGTCGCGAGTATCTTCACAGGCGCGTTGAGACGGAGGAGTTAGTCACCGCTTTCAGCTTCGGAACAGTGATTCTCATTCGTTTGGCTCGCGGCGAACCGTGTCACGGGTATTGATAGTCAGCTTTATTCACGCTAAGAACGGTAGCAAATTTATCGCCAATATTGACGGCGCTCTTCTGTCGAAGGGATGCTCGGAATGGCGTTATTGTTTTTTCCTCTGGGAATACTTGTAGAATGTGATACGCGTGAGACGCTATACGGTGTCGTTGTAAGGAATGATTATGACCTGGGGATCTCTATTTGAGAATAGCATTATTATACCGTTGTAGAGGTTTCATGGTACAAGTTGCTAGAACAATACTTGCGATTATATTAGATTCCCGCGTGTAGTACCCAATGAAATTGCTGGCTATAGTATTATTATGCAATAGTTACATATCAGTGGAATGACCACAACGCAACCGTAAAGTTGTAGTTACACAGTGTAGTAGATACTCTAAATATAGAAAACAGCTCTTACATAGTCAGACTCTAGGTCAGGCTTAAAAGCAGATATTAACCTAAGTCTCCCCCTATTCGTGCTACACTTTATATACCTCTCATTTTCTTTCGGGTGTGTTCCTCTCGGTTCGTTATTTCTTTTTTTTTTTTTATGTAACTCTTGCTAATAATACCTGTAATTGTAGCACGACTACACGGATAGTTACGTGCCATTACGTGACTGTTAGATGAACGTTCTACAGTATCGCAATCGAATTCATGTTCGATATGTATCAAGTGCATTGTCATTATCATACGATAGTTGCGTGCAGCACGTGATCGTACCATACGCACGTCTATCCTACGGTATTGTCAGTATCAAACCGGCATTCGCGAACTGTATAGTTATTATCATACGATATCCGTACTTATTAACGTCAGTAATAGCTTTCGATATAGATTTTCGAAACTAATGAATTTATAAACAAAAGCAGAGATTCCGAAAGTTACAACAAATTTTTCCTTCAATTAAACATATTAAATAATAATAAATACAAATAAAAACTTATGCTTTTTAGTCAGTTAATACAAAAATTATGGAATAATGTCAGTGTCATTTCTTAAAGTGTCAGTAATTGGGTCTTCTACCCTAGAGGCCAATTGAGCGTTCTCAAAACCGTGTTGAACAGTTAGCTCCGCGTTTCATCGGTTAGTCACGCAACACGTCTGTATACACAGGATAATCTCGACCGTATTACTCGGATATTCTAATCATTTACTCGGTTCACAGCCGAACATCCGGTTATCCTGGCGACCAAGATCCCCCCTGCCCCCCTCCTAAGCCGTGTACACGGTACACTAGATATTAGAGAAGCGAAGAGAAAACACCTTATCGACTAGTTCTTATCTGGCGTCGAACGGACAGCAAACCGCGATACACGTGAAAAACATCGATCGGTTTTACGAGACCCAGGTTTCGAACAAACGGAAACTTAGCTCCCGGGGCCACCGCGTGGCAAAAACCATAAGAATTCGTGACGCCCGCGGGTGAGAACGTTCCTTCTACTGGCTGGTAATGTACACACGAAATTGTCCGTTTCTTTTTCACGGAACAACTGTTTATGAACAAAGGTGTTCGTTACTGGTAGACAGGCATTTGCTGACAAACAGTTCCGAGACCCTCATACAGTTGATTGCGACAGTATAGTGCCTCATGTTACAGTGACTTTAGGTGTGACCCTCTCACAAGGTAAGGTACGGAAGTGTCCCCCTCCGATTTTGATGAAACTTCGTATGTCTGTTAAGCAGTCAAAAATAAGGAATACGTATTTTTTTTATCAGCTGAGACCCGACTTTAAGGGGCGAAACCACCACTTGAAGTTTCGACGCGAAAGTACTATCTCGAAAACCAGAGGAGATACATGAAAACTTCTAATAGACGAGGTTTGCATATTTTTGGCCCAACGAGGTTGCCATATTTTTTTATATAGAATAATATGGTGCTGAGAAATTGTCCAAAATATAATTTGTTTATAACAAAAAACTTTCGAATCGAAACTTCGAGGGGGGGGTTTCGCCCCTTAAAGTCGCGCCTCAGCCGATAAAACAAAATACGTACCCCTTATTTTTGATCGCTTAACAGACGTACGAAGTTTCATTAAAATCAGAGGGGGACACTTCCGTGCCTACCCTTGTGAGTTGGTAAATGTGTCCGCTACTTCTTCAGGGCTGTTCTTATTTGGTCCCATTTACTTTCTTTTATTACGTATCTGACATATTTTTCGTAACTTTCAATTTAGAAATGTTTTTTATCATAGGACTTTAAACTATTCAAGAGGATACAAAATGTATATTTATTGTTTGGTATACATAAGGATGAATCGCTCGCTGCTAGGAGAGGTAAGCCGACTGCTAGACTGGTCAGCAGGGTTAAGCTACTGTTGACACGTTTATGGTCGCAGCAGTTAAACGACAAAGTATATATATATATATATATGTATATATTGCCACTCGACCCTAGCAGCGAGTGATTCACCCTGTATACCTCTAAGGCCCCAATAACCACCACCCGCAAAATATAATAGACATTGACCGTTCCTGGGCGCTTGACCTGCCACCGAAACATTTAAAGGCGCGAAGGACCCAAATCCTTGCTGTTTTTACGAAGTCACTATAACTCGGGAAGGCACTATACTCGTTTGTCTTCAGACGTTTCTATCTGTAGGTCCGTCAGTAAGCATTTTCATGTGGGTATTCAGAAATATATCTGTATATATTTTTTCATTAATAATTCCAGCCTCAAAGCCAAGGAATGAACTTCATTTACAATTTCTCTTACCTTGATACAGAATAATCTATTATATTGATATATAATAAGATATTTAAAAGAAAATAAAAATTCCTATTTTTGCTCCTGTCTTTATGAATCACTTTACAAAATGTTATTTTGCATAAAAATTCGCAGTCTATTAATTAAGCATTCTGTACTCTTTTCGTCTGAGTATCACGATCCCCTAAAGACATACTCTGTTCGACAATTTCTACAAGTAAAACTTCAGAAAAAAAAAAAATGCAGTCGTGGGACGGCAATTCAAAGAGCCAGAGCCGTCGAATCGATCAGATATCCCTTGATTTTCGATAAGAAAAAGCGAATATAACAAAGTCACACAGGTACTTAGCCGACCCGTTGTTATTTGTCTCGAAGGATCGACAAGGTGTCCGCGTCCGCAAGAAAATCAAATTCCTCGCGGCACCTGGTGAAGAGCAGCGGGAAGAAGAAAATCGGCGGCAAGAACGATCCAGGCGATGATTCAAGCGTTCCTCGGTTGACACGTTCATCATCGTCGTCGTCGTCGTCGTCGTCGACCTCGTGGTCGTTATGCAGTGACGAAGCGGCTCTCTCGTGTCTGAAGAAGGGCATTCACGGGTTTTCGTCGCGATGCTGGAGTGTTGCGGCACGCCGACTGCCATGAAGAATCCGGAGCACGAGAGCGGCTACTTCGAGGACGGTAGCGACGTCGAGATCACCGTCGAGGAAACGACCGTCGCCGAGGAAAGGAAGTACGGTTCGGCCTGTTACGGCCTAGCGAAGGCCATCCACAGCCTCGACGTCAGGGACTCCAGCGAGCCAGTTTCCGATGACTACGAGGACAGATTCAATAGAGGTACGGACACTCCGCGTTGATTTGCCCGAATAACGTTCTTATCCGATATACAAGGTTGTCTCGGCTAACTTGATCACCTCGAATAATGACTTAACGGTACACTTCATGAAAGTTCTGAGGCTTGGAACTTATATGGCAGCAAGGGGTACTATTGTATAAGGTACGTCCTTTTTTTGTGGGTGGAGATATTTTAGAGATATCAAGGTCATTTTGATTCTTTTTTTTTTTACGGAATGACCTATTTTTTGTACCATGGATCGATGGAGTATCAAATTCTGAGTAAAAATGTGTTGAACTGCATACGTCCTAAACATAATAGTTAACGAGATACTTGGACAATAATCACTATATTGAAATCGCTCTATCGAACTTGAGGGGCATCAGTTCGAGCATCTATAGCTTTCAGATAGTAGGTACGTATTAAAAATTATTTTGTAAATGTCCCGTTAACTATTAGGTTTAGAACGTATGAAGGTCAACACATTTTTATTCAGAATTTTGGTACTCTGTCGTTTTATAGTACAAAAAATACGTCATTCCGTTAAAAATAATGAAGATGTCCTTTAAATCTCTGAAATGCCTCCACCCATGAAGAAAACACATACCTTATCAGATGTGTCCCTTGATGCCATTCAAGTTCTACGCCTCAACATTTTCATAAAGTGAGGTGATCAAACTAACTCAGACACCCTGTATAATAACTAGCTGTTCGATGTTTTAAAAATATGAATTGTAATCCGTTATACTTTTAAATAGCGGTATTCAGCTATAGACTTTTGAAAATTGTACGCGGTATTCAGCTAAGCGTTGTTTCGCCTGAAAACCGCCGGCTGCAAATGTGTTAAGTTGTTCGGAAGAATGTTGTCGTTGAATACAACTAATGTTGATCGGGTATAGCAGTTTGACAAACGGTTTCGAAAGCAAATGGGCGCGACTGCGAACGCGTTAATAATAGTACCGTTGGATAGAAAGAAAGGGATAATTAATATTTGCGACACAAATACATGTAGCATTTCTTATTCGGGGGTCGTTAGTTATAAAACCGGCACGCCAAAGGGCGGAGCTAATTACTCATAAGCTGGCTCGACGAATACGCTGAAGGTCGAACCACAAATGCGACGAGTTACCGAATCCCCTATCGGACAACTTGGTTTCAAATGGTTCTATATGTATACACAACCGTATATTTTCCGGGCGTACGCCTTTTGTCCGTAATATCTTGAGGGGGATAATGAGTCACGCCGTAGACCCGTGGTAACGTCACGTTGAACCCCTATGCAGGTAGCACAAACGTGGGGCAATAAAGCGACCTTCGGTATACACTTGAATACCTATAGAGATCGTTATTCACTCATTGATGGTCGGTAACGAGTCATTCTGAACCGAATGTCTCAACTACACTAATGATTTACGCATTATCGTAAACATTAGGATGTCCCAGAAAGTATCGAAGGAGCTGCAAGCTGACGATGGAACTTGAGAACAATAATCTGAAAATATCAGACAAAACACATTCTGTCTTCTAAAGTTTTCACGTAGTACTTTCGACTGTAACTTCGTATGATTAACAATCGTGGTTCATGATTGTTAATACTAGTGACCTACCAGCCTCGAATGTATACTAAGTTAAATTGTGTAATATATTAATATGTGCAATATATAATGGAAGATAGCTTAGTATACTACAATATAAAGTGTATAAAAAATTGGAGGTAAACATAAATTCCGACGAAAGTATCTCGGTAATTGTAAATTAAAAAATCTGAAATTCGTCATTTTTAAAGGTTCAGTAGGTCTAGTGTTAATTAAATTATCTTGTACCAATATTACGAACCGAATGCCCAGTCGAGTTATTATTAATTATTTCGGTTCATTTATGTTTGTCTTGGTTGAAGGGCGTCGTAAACGTTCTGCAGAAAAGAGACGCGAATGTTTTACTACTTGATCGACCGCCAAACACCGAAGACTTCCGTTGCTACTCCGCGGTCCTTCGAAAATTCTGAGGCACGCGCGAGCGAGCGCTCGTGGCTGCGCTACATTGCGCAATGCTCGTTTCAAGTGCCATCGCACTTAACATCCGTCGCGACAAAGCCGAGCGTTAGATGGGTACTTATTCCTTCGGGTAAACTATTATCGAAATCGTTGCAACGCCGGTGTTGTTTCAACTGCTACGAGGAAACTCGACTCGACGCGTTCGCCATTCAGATTAAGACGTTGGATTGATTTGACGCGTCCGTTCACGTACCTCGAGCATCGCTCGACACCTCGTCGATTTTTCATCAGGCATCGTTCACCTTCCACGCTGCTCTTTTCGTATCCCCGGACATAAAGATACTTTCGATTCCACGGTATGTGACTCCGTTTTGTACAACTCAGCACATTATGTCAAGTGTACCCAGACCTGGGCACTTCTGAAATGATATTTGAAATATCATTTCAAACAACATGTTATTTTGTTATCTAATCGTCCGAAATAATTCTTAGAAATAATTGTGAAATTGTTCTTTGAAATTATATCGGGTGACTAGATCTGAGTTTGGTTTATTGACATTTTTCGGAAGAGTAGTACCTCCCTTCCATTTTCCACACTGGTGGAACGATTATTTTCTTTCGTGACAATATTAAATGGGCCCGAGCAAAAATCACTCACGGACGAGCTTTTTGAAGGGCAGATTCTGCTTGAAGCAAATTGTCGTGCCTAATAGGTTGATTTTACGGAAAAATTTTGTAACAGTATTTAAATAATCCAGCCTCTTTGCAATATACGTGTCACTCATATTTGGGTGACATGGCGGTTAAACTGTTGAATCGCAATACAGTTAAAGATCAATAAGTGGATTGCACGTTAGTAGAGCTAATAAATACATAATGCGTGAGTCCTGGTCGTCGAGTAAGCTGTGCAAGGGTGAACCTTTTACACTCGAGAGGCGACTCTCAGTCGCCATATAATTTAACGTAGTAACTCGAGTAACAAGTGGGAATTGACAGCAACCTTGTAGAGTACAACCTAAAGATCACAGCAAAAACAATTAAAAGATATGGAACTCGAATATCATACTTGCAAACATATACTGAAATTAAAAATAAAAAACATGTATTAAACATTGAAATTTTGGGAAAAGAATATATTATTGCTTTACATTTTAGAAGATTTCGTCGAGTTACTAATCTTTTATTGGTAAAACAAGCTTCGAATTGTTAGCTTTCCTTATCTGAACTAGCTTCGAGTGCAAACGATTAAAGTCGAGCCAACGATTTACGCGTGTCTGGAATTCGTGTTTCATGGTGCCGCAAGTAAAATCGGTACTCAATGAAAAAAAGAGAGAAAGATAGACTGGTTTCGGGTTGTTCGGTAACGGCCCCCTCCTCCTCCCGTGGTAACAGTTGCATTATCCGCGTCTCGGGTTTCTTTTCCGTTGCGCGTATGCTGCGCAAGTAAGTGTCCTTCGGACACCCGATGCACCGAACAACTGGCGGTCCCGCAAAACTGGACCCAATTATATGCACCGCTTCTCTCGCTTCTTTCTCCCGGGGGATCAACCGTACCGGAGAAGAATGCGGATGAGAAAGCACCACATGGCCTTAAGAGAGACATACACATTGCACAGATCGATGTCCCTTCGTGTGTGCGTACGTACAAACCGCGAGCAAAGAGAGAAGGAGAGAGAAAGAAAAAAACGAAGAGAAGCGAAACACGCACGATAAAAACCACACAGTGCGGTGAGCTGCGAGAATCCTCGAGTTTCTTACGCGAACAGGCAACTTTAGCGACCTGGGGATCTAGACCTCTGGAATATCTATTCGGTTCGAGTCATTCTACGAAACCCCCGTGGCTCAAAAGCACACCTGGTATTGTTTCTGATGATTATTTGTCATTTGACGACTTTATTAGAATCGAGTTTTTTTATGGCGGAAGACTTCGTAAGACGTGTCATCATCCTTAATTCCTTTATTGTTAATCATTCGAGTGCTATGGAAGTATAGGGGAAGGTGGACGAATTTGGACCATCACCTAAATTGGACTACTACTGTAGACTTACCGTTATTTAAGCAATTTTCACCGTATGATAGAAAGTGTGTGTATGATAGTGGTGATTGCATTAACCTAATTTATTATATAAGCAACATCTATCATACGGATATATGTAATTGCTTACACAGGACAAGTTACATTAGCGGTCCGACCGAGGCGATGGTCGGCCACGGAATATTGCATATGTATGTAACTGGTGCTTGCCTGAAACTGTATAAAAAAACCTTTTTAAAATTAAAATCAACGTTTCAGACAAAAATGGTTTATTCTTTTGCGGAGATTAATGATCTGTTAAAAAAAAATATAGCTATCCATTTAAATAAACGAAATTGACTTTCAAATGACCTTCAAAACGTTCACCGGATTAAAACCAAATATTGTAATTCTTTTTTCTCTTCAAAACCAAACAACTTTTGTCTAGAATACTTTTTTATGAAATGATTTGTTTTGGTGATATTTCCATGTGTCAACTTAAATGCCGCACCCTGTATATTTAATAGTCAGCTCCGATAACCAGGGAAAAGATGAAAACACCTGGATCGTTTCTCCATGTTCAGTCGCGCAACGTTGTTGCTCTCCTGGCGTGTGTGGTCCTCTATATTCCTTGTTTTTTTTTTGTTCTGTTTGCTACCTCCACGCTCGTTGCATCTGCGTGTCTCGATGCAGAGAGAGACACAGTGTGCACCTTCGGACACGTAATACGCGAGCGTATTATGTCATACCTCAGCGAAGCTATGCTTCCCCTGGCTACAAATATGCCCGCTGTATCGTGGCCCGTGCGTCTCCGTATGTTTGTTTTCCGCGCAAACAACACGGAAATACCACGACGCAATTTTAAATGGAATTTCGATCGGCTCGATTCAGGAATCGAAGACATACTTGAACACCGCATGCACGAGTGTAAGAATTGAGATTATATTTCAACGGTAGGCAAACTGCGGCTCCCAAAGCTATTAATAAAGTTTTT